GCGGTGTGGGTGACACCACACCAAGGGTTGCAATCCCCTTACCGATCGTGAAAAAAAGACAAAACAAAAAAAACCCAACTGTTTTTACTTGAACCAGTAAAAGCATAATTTCTTCCTAGATTTTTAGAAAATAAACATGGACATTCCAATAGTTTTTCTTCAGGTTTTCTTTTGCCTAAAAAGAGGAATGTGGGTTGGCCGGTTGGCTCAGTTGGTTAGAGTACCACCTTGTAGCACCAAGGTCAAGGGCTTGGACCCCCAAAACAGCCAGCCACCAAAAAATAAAAATAAAGAACAAAAAGGAATCTGGGATGATGGGGAGAAATTTGACTTAGGGTCAGAAATCCCTGCTCCCCACTAGCTGTGACTTGTCATTTGTCAAATGCAGCATATGAGACAGCACCCGTGGTCCCCATGATGCCCCCATCCTGATCCCAGAGCCTGGAAACAGGTTGGGCTCCATGCAAAGGGGAAGCAAGGCTGCTGATCAGCTGACTTGAAGACAGGGGAGATCATCCCAGATCACCTGTGAGAGCCCACGGTAATCACAGCATCCTTAAAAGCAGAGGAGGGAGGCAGAAGAGTCAGGGCAGGAGGTATGATGGCAGGAGGAGTGTGTCAGGGTGATGTGATGTGACACTGGACCAGCCATTGCTGGCTCTGAAATGGAAGGGCCCAGGGATGAGGGCAGCCTCTAGAAGGTGGCAAAGGTAAGGAGGGGATTCCCTTTAGAGCCTCTGGAAGGAATGCAGCCCTGCCCACACCTTGATTTTAGCCCAGGGAGACCCATATCAGATCTGTGACCTAGAGACTGGAAGATAATAAGTCGAGTTATCTTTACCCACTAAGTGTGTTCACAACAGGAAACTGGCACACCCTGGCACGTCAGCAGATGTGCATCTGGGGCTGGAGGAAGGTCTCCAAACCTGGGAGGTCTCATTCATTCCTGCGGGCAGAGACTGTGCTGTGCCCCAAGTGCACAAGTCGGGATGACAGCCCAGGCCTCTGACAGCAAATTTACTTCCGGTTATCTAGTACCTTCTAAAAATCTCAGTAAGTGAGAGGTTTTTTCTAACAGGATGAAAAAAGAAGAACTGGCAAAATAAAAATGGTCCAATATTTTCAGTAAGAAAAGTCAAAGTCTTGTTGGCTCTTGTTCTGTACATGCTTGTTCACCCACGGCTGCCCCTCATTCTCAGAGACACACCGCCTCCCTGCCTCCAGACACATGGGCCTGCCAGCTTCTCTCTGGATTTCACCCAGCTGAGCCCCTGGCTCTGCACCTGCAAGAAGTGATCACCTCTGCTCTAGGAAAAAGGGAGAAAGCCGAAACCACTGGGGTCCCTGTACTATCTCTTCTCATCTCCCTGCTGCTATACAGAAGAATTTGAATCTTTCCTTCTGCTGGCGAGTTGACTAACAACGTACCAAAGGGCCTGGAGGGAGGAGCTGGTCAAAGGGCAGCCCTGTGGGAGGCACCCACACGCAGTCCTCAGCCGGCGCTCAAGAAGAGTCCAGCCCAGCGGCTGCCCACTGCAGACCTCGGGAAGCTGGGCTCGGGCTGCGGCCTCCGCGGGCCAGCCTCTCTTTACCAGACACGCCCACAAGACACATTTAACCCTTCTCATCTTCCAGCTAAAATGAGATTTTTTTCTCTCATATATAACGTGTCTTTGCAAGGCTAAAACAATAACTGCTCATTTAAAATAAGCTATTCTATATTAGCAACAAGACATTCATATGGACGTTAAATATTAAAGAGGCCCTGGTCTTTTTCTGGGAGGAAGAGAGAGTGTGTTGAACGCTTTATTCCAGGCATCCCTACCCGATCCTACCTTGTCACAGAACACTTTGATCTGGCAGTAGGCCCGGTGCACGGGCTTGTTGCTGCGGTTGTTGTAACTATAGGTGTCAATTTGAATGTTCAGAGGCAACCCCTTCACGCCCTTCTGAGAAGAGAAATCTGTGCTCAGGCAGTTCACGGAGATGAAAACCTGCGAAGGGAAGAGACAGCTCCGTAAGCAGCAGGCACCAACAGCCAACCTCCACACAGCCTGTGAAAATACTAACATCACCGAAGTGACTCCAATATATTTTAAATAAAGCTTAGCTGCTCATTTAAAATAAATGAAGAGACGGCAGCTCTGACCTCTGTTTGGCTTCCCTTCCAGAACACCTATTTCATTTCAGCTGGGACGCGTGGCGGAGCCTGGCTGGCTTTCCTGATGTCATCATCTCCCAGTGTTTCCACTGTGGGGCTCTCTTTGCAGTCACATTAGTAACGTGGGGTACTGGAAGTTGTTATTTAGAGAAACCCAGGCGAATCTTCGTACAGCAAATGAACATGCTCTGCCTGCCCACCCCGCTTCGTTCTGGATTTTAACCGTGTTTTAATGCTTTGGAGCTCCCTTTCAACCAGTTTTGGAATTTATCTCTGATTCATGAGCACCACATAGTGGATATTATTGGAATTACAACCCCTTCAGGCCTAGGATCTATCACAGGTAGTAGTGGCTGTCACTGACCCAACTAAGTCACAGACAGGGATAAGTTTAAGTTATAAAGGGGGAACCTGTGAGAATATTGAGAAGGTAAGAGATGCTGAGGAGAGAGGTAAATCAGAGGCACAATGACAAAGGCTGGCTCTGGAAGGTGTGCAGAGGCTGACCCCGGTCTCTCGCCCCCCACTGGTCTACGCACTGTCTCTAAGCAGGAAAAAACAAAACACCCTGAAAAGATCGAGAACTTGTCCAAGTTAACAGATTTAAAAGTCATCTCTCTTCTTGCCCCCACACTGGTCTTCTCGCTGTTCCTGGAAAACAACTGGAACGTCCAGTCCTGCCTGCCTGTGCCAGCCACTCCTCTCGCTCCCGGTCTCCTACTCATCAGGTCAGGACCCCCTGTCGCGCCTCTCTGTCTATGTCAATCTGTAAGGCCCGGCTCAAGTGCCACCTCTGCGTGACGTTCCCAGCACCATGCATGTACTATGCCAGGACCTGTGCTGGGCACTCCAGACATACTGTTGCCTCGAATTATTCCCACGACCTTGGAAGATAGTGTTATCCTTCTCCAGGTGAAGCCCAGAAAGATTTTTAAAAGTTGTCCCCAAGGTAGAAAGCAAATGAACTGGGGTTCATCTGGAGGACCTTTCCCCTCTACACCCTGTCGCCTCTTTTCCAAATCAACTTTTCCTAGACTGATCACCAGGCTCTTACTCACCACGTCGGATGGCCTGGCATTTGAAGTGCCCACGTCTCCCTGCCCGGACTGGACTGCACACA